CATCTTCAAGCTGCCAAGGTTGAGGAACACTGCTATAGACAGAATCTTGCCAGACTAAATCTATACTACTGCAACTAGTAGACACATCCTGGGAGTTTCTAGGGAGTGGCTACCCTGAACCTCTTATGTTTCCCATGCTCCACCTCTGGACCATGTTGTCTTTTGTCTCCTTTCCCTTCCTGGAATGCACCCCCTCCTTCCTGATAGCCTTGCTCTCTGCTGCAATCCCCCACCAGGTGAGAGGGAAACATCCTGAGACCCAACTGGTCCATGGCCGTCCCAAAGCATGGATACCCACCACCCTCTCCTCTGAGACACGACCCTCACTCGGAATGCACAGGTGGGAAGCAGCAGCATAAGCCATATAGATGTAGGGTGAGGCTCATCATGGACAGTTGTGGCTTTTCTAAACTCTGCGAGAAACCTAGCTTATCCAGAAGCTCTGTCCGTGGATCTCCCCCTTGGAGCCCTGAAGTTCAAGGAACATTGTGGTGCTGCAGAAGACCCCACGCTGGAAGACCACCCCAGCTGGGCAGATGGCCGGACCTACCCTTCCCCTTCCAGTGGGCGTGAGAAGCAAAGCCAATGTGACCCCCGTACTTCCGGTTGAATTCTGCCATGAGTGCTTTGTAGGGGTTGCGAACCAGTAGGATGGCGGAGTCAAACGCCTCAATTTCCTTTTGCCCACTCTCATGAGTTTTGATGCAGATCGTCCGCCCGCTGCGCCAGTGATCCCGTTCGCCTTTGAACCCTTTTGGCGGGGGTGGGAGAGGGAGGAAAAGAAAGAGCAAAGCATGAGCAACACGTGTGAGAAAAGAAAGGGAGAATGAAAGAAACACTCTGCCACTCTTTAGCAGGTCTCATCATTCAGGAAAGGCAAGGCAGGGGAGGGGGCAGAGCTAAAAACAGCCCAGGGAGAATTACCTAAAGCAAGGAGCGCCTTCGCACTGACCAGAATAATTTAAAATAGCAATTCGTTGGGAGGAAATCCTAAAATGAGAAGAGCCCTGCCCATATGGCTAAAGCTCTCCCTCTTCCACAGCCCCTTGGCCCACCCTGCTTGACTTTCCAGCAGACGGTTCCTGGATTTCTTAAGTCAGCCTTCCTTGTCAAGGGCCCAGATCCTTTTGAGGGATTTCCCAGAGAAAGCTAGTTCATGGGTACGATTCAGCTCAGAGATGAAGTTCCATGAGGTTTTCACTGGCCTGCCACGTGCGTTAGAAATAGAATAAATCTCGGCCTGAAAATCTGACATGGCTTTCTCTGCAAGGGTGATTAAATGTGGCCCCTACAAAACAGCTGCCTTTCCTCTGAGAATACCAGGAGGTTACATTAGGTCCAACACGGCCCAAAGATTATTTTCCCTCTTCAACATCCTGTGCATGCTAGCTTCAGGCCTTCACTCTGCCTTCCCCTTCGCTAGCCAGCTGCTAAGAGAGGCAACTGATGCTTTACAGTCAGGGAGACCAGCGCAGCGTCTTCCCTGGCGGTATTTTAAGTCTCAGCACATGCCTTCTTTCCCTGGTGAGATTATCAGAGGCTGACTGCTGTAATGGAGCTTTCTTTGGGATGCCAAGCCACGCTGGAAAATTTACTGGGCTCTCTCTAAGAAGCGGGTGCTTATTAACAGATCTGTCTTTTTTCTCCCACGGATCTTTTAAAACTGTAATGAGATAGAACTTCCAAGGTTTGGTCTCCAGGCAACCACAAATTCCAGAAAAGGGTCTGAAGCTGGCTTGACAATTTGAAAGAAACAGAGGGAGAGAGAAAGAGAGATGATAATCAGAAGTGATGGCCGGAGGAGGCAACCTCCCCAAATCGTCTGGGCTGTGCGGAGTCTGAGACAAACAACATGGTCAAAGCTCTGGGCTTACGGCTATGGCCCTGACCTGTCTGGAGTTCTTCCTGCCAGGGCCAGATGCTGGCAGGCCAGCCTAGAGAAGTTCCACCAGGTAGTTGGGGCAAAGACAGAAGACCAGGAGCTGGGCAGAACAAGGGACCCACTAACATTATTCAGGCAGAAGAACCTCCATTCACTGCCTGGACTCTCTGGGGCACATGCGGGATGGTCTTGCAGGATGGGAGCTCTGATGTAGAGAGTGGCAATTCATAGCTGAATGAGACTGTCTGCCGAGTGCTCCTCCAACGGCTCCAGATAAATTCAACCCCCGCCCTGATCCACCCTTCCACACCCGTTTCAACTCCCAAGAAAGCCGTGCCATCACCTTTATTATAAAGAGAGCCATCAAAATAATAACTCCCAGTATAAAAACCCGTGGCCAGTTCAATGAGATGCCGGGCCCACGTGTTGCCTGCTCCAGGAAAGCTGGCAAGGGCGACCAACTGTTTGGCCCAAGCCGTTAGAAATCTCCTATCCATACATCGGTTATCTGTGAAACAGAGAACAAGAAAGAGTTCCTGAAGTCATGAAGGAGGTGTTTCTGAAGGCAACTTCTAAAAAAACTTAAAGAAACTCCATTTCTGAAGGCGCTCTTGAAGGCATGGCGAAAGGAGAAGGAATTTCTACCCCCTTTGCTCACCCTGGACTCATTCTGGTGGCCTGGGGGACTCTTGATTGCCCCAGACTGACTGGTAGTGCTCCAGAGCAGAAGGTTTCAAAGTTCTTGGCTATCTCATTGGGCTTCCAGAGCAGACACTCGGCTTATGAAATTGTTTTATATGGAAGCTGATCCTTGGATTGTCAACTGGATTGGACAACCCTCCAGGGTTTGTGTCTGAAGCCTTTTCCAGCTCTTGAGTGGCGGTGTACACCTTCCTTATCTGAGCTCTCAGGGGAGAGAAAGAGAGATGTTCTCTCACATCATGCCCTTCTACTAGAGGGTCTGTGACTCCCCCACCCCAGAGCAGGGACCATTCCTGTGGTTGTACAAATTAGTGACCACAGAGGCAGTTTATTCAGGTGGGCCTCAAGTGGTGGTGGAGGCCGTGTACCCAGGACTCCAGGCCATCTTGGAGACCACAGTGATGGAACAGGGAACCCTCTGGGTGCCCGGGAGGTGCTCTGGCACTGAACACCCACAGCCCCCCTGCCCTCCTGCCCAGCACCCTCCCCTGCCCCCAATACCTTGCACTTGGGTCTGGTATACGATGAAATAGTCTGAGGTGCCACAGCTCTCAAACTCCTCCCCGTTGCATTTCTGGGCACAAAGGTGCTCGCCTTCCCGTTCGTGCAAGGAGAAGAGGGTGGTAGGGAAGCCGCAGTGGCAGAAGGTGCCAGCCAGAGCTGCGAGAGGGTATTCCTGGGAGGTAGGGAGGAAGAAAAGAGTTCTCGGCTAGCTGTGTGGGGACATGCTTTGGGAGCAGAGCTGAAGTGAGGTCAGCCCCTGCCTGCCAGATTGTGGGGGTTGGTCCAGAGGTCCTGGCACTCTTATGCAGACCATGGGAAGGGAGAAAAGATGCTCAGGACTTCCGAATCTGCCTTTTTTGCCCTGCATGGCTCCCCCTTCCACATGCAGAGCCCCTCACCCAGACCCTGCTTTCTCCAGGCCTCCCTGGCCTCCGCTAGGCAGGAGACGTTGCCACCCCCAAAGGGTCAAGGAGCGCTGGCTGGGGAGGATCCGCAGCGGTTGGGGGATAAGGAAGTTGTGGTCCAGCCCAGGGGGCTTTGGAGCATGGAGGAAAGCTAGATCTTTGTGCAAGGCTTCTGGGGACGGGGCAAGGCCCTTCGGCTCACCTTTCCTGTGCACAGGTCAACGCATCGGTCCACAGACATGTTTTTCATGGGCCTGCTTGCCAGCAACGCCAAGGAGACGTTCTCTGGCCGGCGGAAGCACCCGCGGAATATGGCACTGCCGTCTGAGGAGAGAAGCAGAGGGAGGCTTGTTCGCTGGGAATGGCTGGGACTTACAGACCAGGGATGGGTTAGGTCAGCAAGGAGACTGCCATTTTTTTGCATTGATATCCCGCCTTTATTCTGCATACAACTCAAGGCAGCGTACAAGGAGGCAGCATCCCTCCTGTTTTTCCCACGGCAACAACCCTGCGAGGTGGGTTGGGCTGAGACTGACTGGCCCCGGCCGGCTTTAGACCTCCCCGTCTCTCTGTTTCCAGTCCAGCACCTTCAACGCCACCCCAGACTGGCTCCCATTTTTTCTTTCTCCTATTAACTATTAACAAGATGAAAATCAATTCCATTCCGGTGTTTGGTCCAATTGCTCTAATGTATCCTAGCACCATCAATCCCGAAGCCAAGGGGGAAACCTCATGGCTGTCATTTTGAAAAATCCAGCCTGTCATAAATATCTACATGCTTTTTCACCAACTGCTGCGGCTACTGTTTGTGGGTCTAATGCCAAACCTCAGCCCCATTTATTAATCTCTCTGTGACCACACATGTTCTCGCTGTCTCTGGTTCCTTCTCTCCAAAGAAGACATTCGGGGCTCTGTATGGAACTGGCACGCATCAGAAGAAAAGCCAGGTTTTTTAAAAAGCTCTCGGGTTATTTTTCTTCCCCTGCATTTGAAAGTCTTTCTTTTTATCTCAGTTTTCTTCCCATTGCTTTAACAGGGACTTCCATAAAACTTTTTAAAGTTTTGTAGGAAAAAAACCCACCATTTTCCCCCGGGGCAGAACTGGTGACCGATCACAGGGGGAGCTTCAGGAGGTGGGGGTCAAAAAAGTCAAGATGGAGGCTGCAACCATGCGATGGAGGCCCCCCCTTTTTTTACCTGCATTGTGACTGAAATGAGAAGAGGTGGGGCTTTAATCACAGCGTCGCAGCTGTCATTTGACTTTTTTGACTCCCCCTGCAGACGTAGGTCCCTGTGAGACTGGGTTTGCCCTCTTCCTAGATATCCTTCCGCCCCAGCTCCCCTCCCCATCAACTGACCCACTCCGTGGAAAGAAGGCTGTGTGGCAAGGCCCTCGGGGAAGGAGACCCTACTCACACCTCCTGGTGGACTCCTGCGCCAGCTCCAAGCGGTAGATGGACAGCCGGTTGACTCCTCCGCAAATGCTGCTCTTCTCTCCCTTGCACTCCATGTTGCACTCGCTGTCGCTGGCGTTCACGGCCAGGATCTTGTGTCCACAGTAGCATTCTGCCCCGAACTCCAGCCCCGCGTAGAGGTAGCCCCTGCCACACAGCGAAGGCGCCACGAATGGGGGAGTCACCCCGAGGCAGAGGGTGGACTTCCCTGCCCTGGCAGCCCCCGTGCACAGCAGCGGGAGTCCTGACGGCCGTGCCATCATCACCCGCTAGCCGGGCTAGCTGAACCCTAACCAGACTTGGGCTTAAGTTGAAGAACTCTGAGCAAGGATTCGATTTAGATTCATGGCAGGAGCCATGGACAAAACCAGGATGGCTTTCTGGGCACTCGTCCCACCTACTTTCAGCTTTAACTCGGTTTTATTGTTTGCCCCCACAACCGTTAGCTTTATGAGGAATAAATTCAACAAGTAGAGAAAATAAATTGATGTTGGATCAATACCCTTCCTCTTGAGTCACCCAGTGGGGGAAACGCAATTTGGTGCCTTTGCCAAACGTTACTCCTGGTAACAAGATTTACTCAATGCAGGTAGAAAAATGCATCGTTTCCCAAGAGGAAGGATCCCCATCATTCTATAGATTGTAGACAGCCGCGTTACTTAAGGTCTGGCTGGATTATGTTATGTACGGGGGAGGGCGGGGGAGTGATATATGTGTTTTGCCACTGAAGCAATAACTAAGGTGGAGAACTCCGGCAGGTAGTAGGGACATGAGGAAGTGCTGCTCCAGAGCAGAACTACAGAGCAACGACGTATTTGTGGGCCACGAAATTGGAGGAGAAGGGACTTCATTGGTGTTCTCTAGAGAAGGGGACATTCTGGAATGCTCCCCTTGGTCTGTAGGACTCAGCATTTCTTTTTTCCTCCCTCCCCGAATTGCCCCCAACCCCTCTAATTACCCCTCTAATTCCAAAAAAGGTCTCCCAAATACCCCCCGTTAAGCATGATTTGGCTCCAATCCTTTTGCATCATGGGCATGTCTGCTGCCCCCCCCTCGCTTGCCCCCTCCCCAACCATTAAAGGCGACATAATCCAGCAGGCATCAGAAGATCTCCCTTCCAATCTTTATAAAAGGGGTTGGCAGTTCAGGGGAGGTGGCCCGATCAGCGCCTGCCTTCCTGGGAGCTCTCCCTGGTCCTGAAGCATCGGACAGGGTCCAACCTCGGTAGGCCCTGTGCAAGAACTTGGACCGGCTGGGGAACATAGGGGGTCTCACCCTGTGCCCACCAAGGGTCCCTTACAGGGTTCCTTCTGTTCTCAACGAGGCTACTCATTTGCCAGTCAACCACCCCATCACCTTTATTTCTGTAAAACGGAAAGGGTTGGGGCTTCCATCTAATGCTTCTGCCACAAACTTATTTTCGGTGGATCCCCCCAGCTGCAAACCTCAGGAGGTATCACTCCGGCTTCTCAGGGTCTGCCTCATGCGGAGGGTCATTTCCCTTGCAAATGAGGTCTTGGCTTCTCCTCAAGTGAGAAAAATGGGATCTTTCAAAACTATTGGGCAAAACAGTCCCTGCGAGAACCTTAAACTGCCAACCCCAGCAGGAGAGAAACACTCGATGCCTTGGCGTTAATGAAGTCCTGGTGTCGTTTGCCACCCTACCGTTCAGCGCAGTTGTCCTGGCAACGGAACAATGTCATTTTTTTGTAGTCAAAGAAGGACACTCCACGGAGGGCTCTCTGGTGGGTGTTGTCTACATAACAGCCGATGTATTTTGCTGGCAAAATGAGAAGAAATGTTAACATCCACCATTTTTATCTTCAGGAGAGATACAGGCACACTCCAGACCTTGGCCCACGGGGTCACGGGGAAGGGCGGGCTAAATGGGTCATACAGAGTGACCATCCTCAGCACCAACCTGGCCTGGGGAGAGTTGACTTGCTATTTTTCAGATATCTGCATTTCCTTAAAAAAAAAAAATGCTTGTGAGACTGGTGGGGAAGGAGCCTCTGATGTCACGTGCAACCTGCCCGTGGGTTGGCAGACATCTTCAAAAAGCAAGAGGAGACGTGGCACACAATCCTTCCGAATTGCCAACTTTTTTTTCCCCCCTTTGGCATCTCCCCTGTTTTTCCTGAGAGCTTCACTCCCTAGCGCCCAAAGACCTTTCACCGCTCTCCTCCACCTGCATGGAGAAGAGACGGCAGACCGCGCGCGGGCAGAGAGGCCCTTCCCCAGGGCTT